ACAGCAAGTTTGGTTAATTATGTTAGGTTAGTTTAGAATAGTTTCATTTCTTAATCCAATATATAGGCTATTATTTTTGCCTAAAGAAGATTAGTTTTTAATGCTATTCTTTAATACGAGCTATAACTCAATAACTTGGTTATTGTGCCAAGTATAACTTGGACATATATTTGCTATATGTCTATCTGTCCGTCTGTAATTTAAATACTTTTGAAGATATTAAAACAGATGCAATTTGGATGATAAAAGAAAACAAAAATATTGATAATCGAAAAGAAATCATTGATAATTATGAATGTTCCACTTAACAGGAAAGTACCTTTTTAATGGTGATTTTCTCATAAAAACACAAAAAATAACGGGAAAATCAGAATTTCTTGAAAATGGCCTGATAATTTTGATAAAGACTAAGAATGTTGTAGCCCTTTAAATTCTGAACAAAATGGTAGAACTCCCATTCCTTTCAAAATTTTGGTTTTAGTTCTCTATTAGACTTTGACTGACAACTCAAATGTGTCTAATAATGACACATGTAGTGCCTCCGGTCCGCGCACGCGCTCGAGTACCTACGTCCGTACCGTGGAACAGTCATCCGTGCGAAAATGTAAATATGTGTAAATAGTGCTTGTATTATGTAATATAAACTGTGCTCCTGAAGATGCCACACCTGTGGCGAAATGATCATAGAGCAAGAAATCCACAATTGTTCAAGAATCTGGCAACCATAAGGTAAACCAATTGATTAATTATTTGTTCTTGAAGCTGGAATAATACACAAATTATATGTGATGGTCCTTATAATTCTTAACAACATAGTGCAACCCCCCATTTCTGTAAAAATTACAGTTCAAAAGTTAATGTAACTTAACTTATGTTATTTTCCTATCAAACCCCATGAAAAAAAACAGAAAAATGGATTTAAAAAACTGATTCTGATTGAAGTTTGATTTTAATTGTCTTTATAAATTAATCCTAAACAAAATAGTGCAACTCCCTCTTTTCCCTCTTTCTGTAAAAATAACGGTTCAAAAGTTAAATGCAACTTTTGTGATTTTACCTGTTAAATATCATAGTAGCCTAGTTTATAGTTACTCTCATTGCTTGCATAAATAAAGGTTGTTAACAAGCTAATGGGAGAAAGTATGTGTCAGATTGCTGATACTGTTTATTTGTATAGGTAGTTGATTGTATTAAAATATAAAGAGTGAAAGTAATAGTTATTTGTGCAACTAGTGAACAAAAGTGAGCAATTGCCCCACTCTAGAGAAATCCTTACTCACGACACAGAAAACGTACTACTATAACCTTATAGTAGTACGTTTATATAACCTTATAGTAGGTTATAGTAGTACGTTTTCTGTGCTCACGAGCCGTGGGCGAATGAGGAATTGTTTCTCGAGTGAGGCGATTGCACTTTGCACTTGAGTTGCACATTATATTTTTCCTACAGTTACCATAAAACAAATAAATTGGCAAAGAAACGTGCCTTCATGTTGAAAATCTGGAGTGAGACAAAGTAATTAGTGTTCATTAGAATGTGAGACAATAGTTATTTGTGCAACTAGTGAGAAAAGTGAGCAATTGACTCACTCGAGAGAAACCCTTACTCACGAGCCGTAGGCGAGTGAGGAATGGTTTCTCGAGTGAGGCAATTGTACTTTGCACTCGAGTTGCACATTATACTTTTCCTACAGTTGCCATAAAACAAATAAATTTGTGAAGAAACATAACCTTATTTTTCACAGAAGTGAACTTTTAATATAACATTTAATGTGAAGTTACAAATACAACAGTACAACAGCTGACCAGCTGATTTACAGCCAGTGCTGCCAACGTATTTCGCGCGCATACGACGTTGCCTGCATGTTACGCGCTCACTATTCCGTGCCTTCACGTTGCAAATCTGGAGTGAGACAAAGTAATTAGAGTCACTGATGAGCGAATTGGCCACTTTGCTTTCTCAAATCAGTGAGAGAACATGTACATTGTTAGGTAACTGTAGGAAAAGTAACATTGTCTCACTGATGAGCGAATTGGCTACTTTGCTTTCTCAAATCAGTGAGAGAACATACATTGTTAGGTAAATGAAGGGGAAAAGCCTTTTTTAGGAAATTACAATTTAAATGAGACCATTAAAAACCAAAGGTGGAAACCCTTGCATTATCTTCTCCATGTAAAATGTAGACACAATGTTGTATTAATTACTATTCTGTGGATGCGTATTCATTTACTAAATTATCTACATTACAATTTACTATAATTTGAGAGTAGTTACCTTTATAACTTAAATAATTTAAAATTCTTACTAACGATAACATGAATTTTAGGTTTGAAATCATAAGACTGACAATATTATTTAAAATATTTAAATTTAATAAACAACACTAAAATGGAATATGCCTAGGCCTACCTATAACAGTAAACTTATAAAATATGCTATTTACAGATACCCCTTTATTTTATTTTATTTTACTTCCAACGGTCCAAACAAACCAATTTACAATAATTTTTTTATATAATGCTTACTCAATGTTCCTATAACTAAGGGTCAAGCCAAACATGCAAAGGGGCTTAGAATCTACTTAATGAGAGAACTTGACAAGACAACAAGAACAACAACTAAAATCTGAGCAATGTTGACTAACAATGATAAATCTTTGATATAATTAACATTGAATAAAAATGTGTAGCCAACAAAGATAACAAAAATAATAACAACAACAACAAACAACAACAGCATAAACTACAATAGCAACAATAATAAATAACAACAGGAACGAATAATGACAATAGCATATAACAATAATAATACTACAATAGAAAATATAACAATAGTAATAAATAAATAAACTGATATTTTACTTAAACAACAAATCAAGGCAGCGCCTCACAGATCAACAAGTAACATCCTTTTTTCAACGACTCGCCACTGATGGAGAAGAGGTCGATATCTTCCGGTAAGCTGTTGGCCAAGAGTTGGATGCGGGGAAATGTACTGTTGAACATGTACTGGGTTGAGTACTGGCGTCTAGCGAACGGATGAGTTTGGCGCAGGTGACGGGATGTGCGGAAGTTCAACTTATATAGTAGATCAGGTGCATCAATGTCTGAGTTAATTAGCTTCCTCAGGAACAGAAGGTCATTGATTTCACGTCGTGCAAGTAGTGGCCTCAAGTTTAACTGAAGTTGTAAATTCTGGATAGGAACGGTGCGGTAGTCATAACCCATCAGCACACCAACCAGACGAATGAAACGGCTCTGCACGTTCTCATGACTCTCAATCTGCCCAATCAGGTAAGGGCTCCAAACTGGTGATGAAAACTCAAGTAAAGGCCTGACTAGATGAATGTAGAGGATTCTCAATTCATTGATAGAGAACATGTTACGACTGTTCCTTATAATGAAATATAGGGCAGAATTTGCTCTCTTGCAGATACAATTTATATGCTCTTGAGGGTTTAAATTTGGTGAAAGTATGACGCCAAGGTCCTTGATCCTGAAAGAACATGGGAGGGGTTGACCGTCAAGTAAGTAGGGGAAGATAATGGGTGTGCTAGATCTGGAAAAGGATATCACAGAGTATTTTGAAATATTCAGAGTCATTTCATTATCACAGCACCACTTCATCAGCGAATCAATACCGTTCTGCAGAACTTGACAATCATCCAGGGTTTTAATTGTTTTAAAGAGTTTAGCATCATCAGCAAAGAGCAAAATGTTCGACCCCTGAGTATGCTGTACCAGGTCATTAATAAATATTAAGAAAAGAACTGGGCCTAAAAGTGATCCCTGAGGCACACCGGAGACAGCAGAGAAAGGTTGAGACAGACAGCCAGCAACCCGTACCCGAAGAAAACGATCCTGGAGATAACTTCTTAACCACGCCAAGAGGCATCCGCCAAGTCCAATAGCTTCAAGTTTGGCAACCAGGTGTTTGTGACTTACACGATCAAAAGCCTTCGAGAAGTCAGTGTATATGGCGTCCACCTGATGAGAATCCGTAAAGGCAGTTAGAATGTGATCCTGAAAGGCGAGTAGGTTGGTAGTAGTCGAGCGTCCCTTAATAAAGCCATGTTGTTCAGTACATATGATACTCTTGAGATGGAATGTCAATCTCCTCAGAACCAGGGATTCGAAGATCTTGGCAACTATTGACTGTATAACCACCGGGCGATAATTCTTCACATCAGCGGGGGAACCAGACTTGAAGATAGGTGTTATATAACCCAACTTGAGATTGGTGGGGAAGATGCCGGCAGCCATGAGCAGGTTGAAATATACGGTAAGGTGAGGAGCTAAAACGCTACTGCAGTATTTAAGAACCAATGGAGAAATGTCGTCAGGGCCAGCTCCCTTATTCACATCAAGCGAGTTCAACTCATCTTCAACCTCTACACAGCTCACATAGCAAGAGGAGATTGCGGTACGTGCCTTGAAGTCGTATTGTGGTGGAGAAGAAGTCGGAGACTCGTATACAGAAGAGAAGAACTTAGAAAACAGGTTGGAGATGTCTTGAGGTTTTTCAGCAGCTTCATTATCAAGCAACATTCGGGAAGGAAGTGATGAGGTCTTCTTAGACGACTTGATATAACTCCAGAAAACACGAATGTAACTATTCAGAGATGAGTCAATAGATTGAATGTAAGCTGAGTAACATTTCCTCGTAAGTCTGTTGCATGCCGCTCGAATTCCACAGAATTGATGATATAGACGGTCATCAAGATTCTGCTTGTAGCGCTTATGTAGGTGCTTTTTCTTGATAATCATAGATTTGAGCTCAGGGGAGAACCAAACAGGAAATGATCGTTTACCAATGTATTTAGATGGACATGCACTCCTTATAGTATGAGTAAGTTGGAAACAAAAGTCAGAGAACAAGTCTTCAACGGGAGCAATATTATCCAAAACAGGGTAGTTAAGGCGTTGAACCCATTCGAATACATGGGCGAGATCACACTTCCTTAGGGGCAAAGACACTATAGTTTAGGTCTTCTGTAGGATTGATATCCAGGTCCATCTCCAAAGCAGGATGGTGACTTTCAGCATGAAGAAGAGGGTCTATGGCGTTGTGGACATTCAAATGTATAGAAGAGAAGACCAGATCAAGAAGAACTCCACGATCATTGTAGACATTGTTGTACTGCTTTAGATTGAGAAAATTCATAATATCACAAATACATTGGGCTGATGTATTGAGGTGGCTGGAAGGACTGGACCAGTCTACATTCGGTAAGTTGAAATCCCCAATAACCAGAAACGAATTTATGTCTTGCACTGTAACTGACAGTTCCTCCAGAATAGATGCAAATTCAATATACTCCAGCCAATATCAGCCAGGATAAATAAAGAGTTCTTGAGCTTCAAGGCCGCAAAGACACATTCAATGTTAAGAGAAGAAGGGAAGAGTTCCCAAGAATCAAACTTGTCACGGATCGTCACGATTGCCTTAGTCCATATGAATGTTAAGCCATATTTTGAAAAAACAGTAGGCCTACTAAAATAAACTAGGCTATAGGATAACTTTTAGTAATAACTTCTTAAGTCTTTGGAAAAGTAAATAACACAACAAGTACACTGAAACGTTAACAGTCAGTCTCTAAATATATTGTTTACCAAAGCAAGTCTAGGGTATAAAGGGTCTTCATCGTCATCTTCCATAATATCAAGTTTTCTGTGCCTAGCCATGTTTGATAAGATTGCATCGAGACTAACTGTTTTTTTCTTAGCACTTCCCCTTGGTCCAGCCTCAGATCCCACAGGCCTGATAGCTTTCGCTGATAACTTCAAATTGGACATTTCATCTTGAAAATCAAAATCAGATTTCTCCTCAGGCCTATGTTCATCGACATTGTCTTCCTCGTTTTGAGAGTCAAACTTAGGGGATGGGGTAGGAGGACGTTTTCCAGGAGTGGTCCATTCTATATCAAAGGGTACGCAGCTGTCTATTCTATCAAATAATTCTGCTATTTCATCTGGTAAAGGTTCCCAAGGCACTCCATCTTTCGGTCTGAATTCTTCATCAGAGCATTCCATGTCAAAATTATTATCTTCTGCGCCCATTAAAAATGCATCAACTTGGTTCAATGTATCCTCTTGTTGATCCGACATGATCATGCTGTCTCTATATTTACATTTAAAGACTATGGTTGAGAATTTATAGCATTGGACTCATTCATAACCCTTATCAGTCAGTCTTGGCAACAAGAAAACAAAGATCTTCCTGTATCTTTCTTGTTTTTAAAAATCAGCTAGGCCTAGTAAATATCCTAGCATTGTACTGTAAGGTGTAAGGCGGGATGAAATTGAATGAGTTCGCGAACCAGCATGATCGGACCATGGGAACGGGGCTTTACGGGGGGTTTTATGGGGTAAAAATTGGCTTTTCTCACTTTTGACCCTCAAAACACAAAATTTCCCAATTTATCTTTAGACCTTTTTAAAGGGCTTAAAAATTAAATAATTTAGTATGGAAAAGTATTTTTTTTCGGTTATTAGTAACGGAGAAAATTAAAAAAATTGTAAATTTAAAATTCCCATATGTTATTCCTTAAGGAGTATATTGCCAAATCTTGTAGTTTGCTTGTTTATGGATATATTTTGATCAGACTTGGCAAATGTATTTATTTTGTACTAAGCTATCAATATTTTACTCAAAACACACTTATATAATTAGTTTCCTTGTAGCAGCAAACCTAGGTACTCGTAAAACCTAATGTTATTAAATTTAACTGAAAATCAATTCAGACAAATGGAAATTCGCTTAGTCAGCAGGTTTGATGCGGATATTTTATAAGATGTTTGGATACATTAATGATCAGGGCCGTATTAAAAAATGATGAGGTCCCTCTATAATCTGATTCTTTGAAGGTTGGAACTTAAGGGTTTAGAAATACACGTTGTATTGTTTCAACACTATGAATTGACCTTTTGTTTCCAACCATCCGATCAGCAAAAAATAGATACTAGCTACTAAATAAGTCTATTATTTTTTTAAATAATAATAGGGGTCTTAGGTCTGGGCCAGACATTTTCCATTTCATTCGGCTTGAGTGAAAAATGTTGACATCCGGATATCACATCAAAATCACAAAGCTGTAGGCCGGGGCCACACGTGGCGGATCGTCCGCGCGGCTTATGACACAAATGCTTGAAAATGAGCTCCAACCGCGCGGACAATCCGTATCGTGTGGCCACTCTCATAAGACTACATGTGTCATCCCCTCCAACGCGGCTTATGATCGCGCGGACAATCCGCGACATGGCGCGGACAATCCGCCCAGGCGGCTTAGGATCGCCCCGTGTGGCCACTCTCATTTGATTCAATGTGTTGTCGGACCACGCGGATCATCCGCGTCGTGTGGCCCCGGCCTAAATACCAAATAATTTCTTTTAGACTGATAGAAAAATCAGTAAAAGTAAAGTTGGAAGTAAGTGATAACGTCATCGTTCCAGCTAAGAGCGCTACTCACAGTGAAGGTTTAGATTAAGTAATGACGTCATTGTTCCTCCCAGCTCCCCACCACGACTGTTGCTCCGGTGAGCCGACTCGTTCCTCTGAGTATCTAGACGCTAGTCACTTTGGGTCCGTGTGAGTTTTCTTTTCACCTTCCGGTTCCGTTTGACGCCGAGATTTGTCCTTGGCTTGGTCTTTGGGCCTTTGCCAACGCCAAGGCGTGGTCCAAGTACTTCGTCTTCGTCCCTCCTGAGATAGAAGGAATTGAGAGGTAAGTGAAATTACTCTAAATTTAGTGTATCTTACTTATATTATAATTGTAAGATTGCTGTACCCTATAATTGTTACAAACCATTTCAGTTTTTACCGCTATCTTAATATCCCGGTTAACATTAAATGATCCCTGTAGTCAAGCTACATCATAGCCTAGGCTACTTAAGACATTTTTAATGAAGTAGGCTAGGCCTAGATGGATATTAATCACACTTAAGTTAAATGGTCAAATTTAAAGAGTTTATGAACCAAGGTAACCTTAGTGATCATAAAAGACCTAATTTCAATAGGCCTAACTTAGCTTAGGCCTAGGCCTAGCCTCGGTAGGTTAATTCAGGCATAGGCCTAGCCAGGTTAATTCAGGCCTAGGCCTACTTGCAGAGGTCTTTTTATCAGAATGTGTGTGTGTACTAAGGTTAGGCCTATACCATATCTAAGTAACTTAAGTAGGCCTAAGTTTAAAATACCAAGCAGTAAGTTAATTTAAAATAACTGAGATAGGCCTAAGTTAAAAAATTAACCGTTAGGAATTGTAACTTGTAAGGGTTGATTTTTTACACCTTACCTTTTTTTCATCGTATCACGAATGAGATCGCAAGACAAAAATGGGTTTAATTGAGGATCAGCCAGGTAGTAACTTACGAACGACCAAGGATTTTGAGGTTAAGCATGGTGAGGCGAGGCTCAAGTAGTTATCGCGAGCACCGATGTAGCCACTGCCGATGCCGAGTCAGACTGCCAAAACTGGTTTCTGCGCATGACCGGCCCAGACGTGCAACAAACCCACTAGGTCCGGGCGCCGCCGGACAGTCTGTGCCATATCGTGACCCGATCAACACGTCTCTCTCTAAGATATAGTGTTTACTTGACATCATTTTATGATTCAGGGAAACTAAGTAGTTGTTTTACGTTTGGATATTCACGATCGATGTTGAATAGGCTAATTGATTTGCGATATAATTTGTTCACGATAAACGAGGTTTTGATTTTGATCAGTGATCAATTGGTATTTTTTGCAATTTAATTTAGATTTTAAATTGTGAAATAATTATTAGTCTTGAAGTTAAAGAAATTTTGCCGACTAGCTATATAAAGTCCAGTCGAGTTAGCATACACTAGGCTATTGAGGAAAGCAAAAGTTAAGTAAGGCCAATCGAGTGTTTTAAAGGATTTTTACCTACACATCTTATATTACATAAACTCTGTATCACCTTCCAATATCCCTCCTTTGGCTGAAGTACAAGTAGCATCCTTTGGGCGGACCTAAACCCTCTTGTATCGCAGTTAATGAGTGATTTAATAGGTTAAGCCTTAGCCTGGTTGTTTTTGGAGAACTATATAATTTGAGGGTGACAATGGCCAAAGCTTGTGTAATATAACGTCATATAAACTCAATGTTGCCTTCCATTCACCGCTCCTTTTGCTGAAGTACAAGCAGCATCCTTTAGGCAGTGTACGCCATTCTATAGCCTACTACCCTATATTGTATGCTTAACGAATTTCTGGTATTTAATTAAAACATAGAGAGAGTTACGAGACACAATTAGCTATAATGTGTTAACGATTTACCAGCGACATAGCCTATTTGCCACGCACAATAGTGTTTTGCTCGATGTTTTGTTATTATTTTGGGTCCGATCTGAACTATCGATCGTATTGGTATCGGTAACTATCGAAATTCACACCGAATCTACTACCGGAATAATAGTTTATAGTTAGCCGTTGATTATAGTTGCTAGTGATTGAATCATCGACATTGACTAGCGATATAGCATTTTGATTTTGCTCAATTTTGCTCTTGTTTTCACTACACCTCTGAATAGCCGATAGCTAATAACAACTGATTGGTTAAATAATATCTTTATTTCGTATAAAATTAATACTTATTATTACTATCCGATTTGATTTAGCCTACTTTAACAATTGCGTAAATATTAGCTGTTTTATAAATAGCTAAGGATAGCTGTTTTAGTGCTCGCATAGCTAGCGTTAGCCTGTTGATTAATTGGGATCTTAAAAGAATAGTGGGGGGTCTAAGTTATCCAAACTAACCTATCAAAACCTATCCTAGATTGCTGAAGTATATTCAGCATCCCAGTTAGCTGTGCAGGCTATCTACCCTTGACCTTTTTGTTGTTTAGAGCGCATTTGCGTGGGTTAGGGTAGCGAGCGAGGTGTATACGGGCGTTTAGGTAACGACTAACCTACCGTAACCTATCCTAGATTGCTAAAGTATATTCAGCATCATAGTTAGATGTGCAGGATATCTATCCTTAACCTTTTTGTTGTTTAGAGCGCATTTGCGGGGGCTTAGGGTAGCGAACGGAGTTCATACGGGCATTTGGGTGACGATTAACCTACCATAACCTATTCTATTTTGCTTGAAGAGTATTCAGCATCCTACTTAGCCGTGCAGGCTATCCATCCTTAACCTTTTTGTTGTTTAGAGCGCATTTGCATGGGGTTAGGGTAGCGAGCGAGGTGTATACGGGCGTTTGTGGCCTATCCTAGATTGCTGAAGTATATTCAGCATCCTAGTTAGCTGTGCAGGCTATTTACCCTTAACCTTTTTGTTGTTTAGAGCGCATTTGCGGGGGTTTGGGTATCGAACGAGGTCCATACAGGTGTTTGGGTAACAATTAACCTACCGTAACCTATCACAGATTGCTGAAGTATATTCAGCATCCTAGTTAGCTGTGCAGGCTATCGACCCTTAACCTTTTTGTTGTTTTGAGTGCATTTGCGTGGGGTTAGGGTAACGATTGGAGCGTAGCAAGGTTTAGTTTGATCCTATAACCTTTGATACCGATCCTAGTTTGCTCGAAGAACATTAGCATCCTAGCTAGCTGTACAAGCTATCGCACATAATTCTTTAAATAGATTCGAACGCGAGAATTGAATTAACAAATAAGACGGCACATGGATTATACACGACAACCTTTTTTTTCCGCGTCTGATAGGGTAACGATGATGAGTGAATAGCGACAACTCATTTTCATTAAAGGAATTTGATTGAACACAGACTATTGATACTTTAGATTATTCAAAACGAACTTAATATTGAGTGGAATTTCAGAACTACAATATTTTGTTGATTCACATCGACCCCTGGAAATTTAAACCCAGCACTGCTGAACTATCTTTGGCGATAAGATAACAAAATTGACACACACACAGAAATTCCCTCACAAACTTAACTTATTTAGGGCTGCACTTTACTTAACGTCCTACACTCATCCGATATGAAAGTATCGATATAAGTTATAGATAATTTGATACAGTATATCGATTATTTCATTCGGTAAGTTTTAACTTAACTAACCAAACTTGATATGTCGAATGATATAATCGATATATCAATCGATATTTTCATTCAAATGAGTGTCAGTGGCGGATTTACCATAAGGCACGTGCCTAGGGGCTCCTGCCATTGAGGGGCGGCGTGCCACCCGTCAGCGGGTGACGGGCGTACGGTGGCGGCGGGCGCGTGGCGATAGGCTGTGGTGCTGCTGCCAAAGGGTAGTTTTTTCATTAAAAAATGCAGCTTGAAAACATGCGAAAAATTAAAGTAGTATTTAAACAAATAGGCGCCCGCTATTGTGGAAAAACACACGGGGCGTGTGGCATTCATTCCCCATTACATTTAGTTTTACTCATATTAACGCTGCGTTTGAGCGTGAGAAAAAGCCCGTGTGGCCGTTGCATTAAGTGGTTAAGACGACTCACGTGTCGCGACGTGCAGATGCAGACATACGACTGCGGGTAGCGAGCACTGTCAGTGTGTCATTTCCAGTACCTGTGTTGTACTTCTAGTGGCAGTTATCAGCCCCGAGGGTAATGGTAATAGACGCCTGGGGCAAGATTTAAATTTTTGTCCCCTCACCAAAAAATATATTTGGGGGGTTTGCGTCAATAGACTCAACGTCCAATATATCGATATTAAACGTTTTGCAAGTATTTTTTATAAACGTACCAACTACACCGAACTTAATTAGGCCTACTAAAAACA